GTCTTTTTTCATGACGGGCAACGGACCGCAACCCTCAGTGTCGCGCCCGTACCGGACCGGGACCGGCAACGGGATCGCAACCCTCGGTGCTGCGCCCGCCCCTCACTCAGCCAGTGAGCGGGAACCGGTCTGTATGTGGGATCCGAACCCTTGGCAGGAGCACCGCCGCGCTCCCAAGCGGTGCACTGTAGCAGTGTGCCACCGGGCCGGCCCCTAAAGCATAATTTTTTAACTACTTGCAAGTATCTCTAATCCTGTGCCTGAAAAATAGAAAGAATGGGCTATAAATTATTTATTAATGAAAGGAAATACCAAAGAGGCATCACCATATTAAAACACAGTGCCCCAGCAGACCATGTACAACCATCTAAAATTAAACTGGAGTTATATTTGATTATGAAAGAGAGCAGCAAAGCGAGATTACAAATCACCTATATAGATACCTGTATAACCTTCTAGGCCCGTGTTTACCAATGTGGCTTTCTGTTCACTGTCAATTATAAAGTGAATTTTTAAAAAAAAAAATATAAATTTTTTTATAAAAAATTTTTTACAAAAATAGAAAGGATCCCTGAACATTGCCCCAGGCTTAACTGAATTAAATCATCAGAGGTTAATACCTGTTCCCCCTTCCATCTCCTACACATGAACACACAAACACACACGCACATGTGCACACCATCCATCAAGGATCTCTTGAGGTTCCAATGTATCCCGTCTCATCATTGTTATTTGATATTATAGGGCTGATCACAGTCAATTCCTTTTGTGTTAGAAGCACCTTATAGATCTTATACATCTGGTTCAATGGTTCTCAATCTTGGTGGCACATTATAATTCCCTGAAGAACTTTATAAATCCGGATGCTTGAACTTTTCACCAGAACAATTACATCTGAATAACCAAGTATGGCTCCCAAGTATTTGCAATTTTTAAAGTTCCCCAGATGATTGCAATGCACAGTTCTGTTTGAGACTGCTGATCTGTAGATAATACTTTGTATCTTTCTGCATCCTTTCTAGTTCATAATTATGTAGCCTAACACCCAAACACTGTGTTGGAGGTGTGTAGGCCAACCACAACTGCCCCACTTTGATGGGAAACACAACTGAGATTGACCATTTGGGACCAACTACGATAACTTTTTGTTGAACTTCATGTTTATTATATTTGTTTATTTTTAGATGCAATGTAGTGATCATTATCCCAATTTATGAGACATGGGCACACAGACAACAGAGTCAGAGAGAGCTGCCCAAGCAAGTAAGATATGGACCAGAGTCTGAGTGACACCAAAGCTTACAATGTCTGCACCAGTGATTCACAAAGGGTGGCCCCAGACCAGCAGCATCAGCATCATCTGGGAACATATAAGAAATGCAAATTCTGTGCCCCGATGCCACACTTACTAAGCATAATCTTTCAGACTGGGGCCCAGGAATGGGTGTCTTAACAAGCCCTTCAGGTGATTCTGAAGCACATTAAAGGTGGACAAAGATTGCTGTATATTCTCCACTTCCATCAGCTGCGCACTTTTGGAGACTCAGCTCCACGTGTGGCAAGAGAAATAAAACGTATGGATGTCTCAGTGAGTAAGACAGGGTGAGGGGATGAGAAAGGTTCTCTCACTGTCTTCCCTTTCTCCCATTCCTCATTTATATTAAGAATCTGTTACGAAAAAAAGAGGGAATCTTATCAGAGATACTGTATAGAGAAAAAAACAAACAAAGAAACAACTGGGGGACACTGGTAATCTTTACCTGCAGGGGTGTCTGGCCATGGTGAGCCACTTTCTTACAAGTGTGGCTATTTTTAGATGTTGATGAATGGTTTATCCTTTTAATCAAAATATGAAGAGTTTTAAAATGTTTCATTAAAAATGAATATCCCAACTGTTTCCAGGGAAATGATTTTTTTGATCTTAAGGGCTTTGAGATAATTGGTGTTTGGGATACGAAGGGCAGTCAGTTTGCTTTCTCTGATGAAAGCTGGTTCAGATTGCTGCCATCCTGAGAAATGGGAGTACTGCTGACCTGCTTTTGAGTCTCTCCTGCTACGCTTTAGGGTGCATTTATTAGAGTTGTACATTTGACTAGGGAAAAGAAAAATTAAAAGGCCACTCATGTTAGATTTATCAGAGACACTGATTAATATTTTCTAAGCAAATTGCAAACTCCTTTCTTTTAAACAAGTATGTCAAAGATGCTTTGGGCACATTCAGGTCTGAGGGAAATTCATCTCAAGGGCCCAGGGCAGGGCTAGGGCAGGGAGAAAGAGAAAGCAATGGAGAGAAGAGAAAAAAATAGGGAAAAAGGAAAGAAGGGGAAGCAGCAGACAAGGTTTGACAAGGGGAAGAGACAGAGGAGATAAAAAGAAAAGGAGAGTGTGAAAGGAGAAATGAAGAAATAGAGGCAGGGGCAGAGGGGTTGAAAAGGGGAGAGAAAGAAGAGGCTGGGGAAAGAATGGAAGGAAAGAGAAGAAAAGAGAGGACAAATAGGCAAAGAATAAAAAAAAAGACAGAAGAAAGTAATGAATGCAGACTTTGGAGCCTGACAATTTATTGTGAAGTGCCACTTTTCTAAGACACGCCACAGAGTTGCTGGCTCCAAAGGTTAATGATGGCACTAATCATGATTCCAATTTACAGCAAATGAGATGAAAGGCAGCCAGACCCCTAACGGAGAGGCCCTGCAGCGATGGCAGTGGAATGATAACGTAGCAGGTAGCAGCCGTCGAGGAACACAGGGCTCTGGGAGGTTGGTTTTTCTCCTTCATTCAACAACCATTTTGTCCCTGATGCACAACCCAACGTTAAAAAGAAAAAAAAAAAGGTAGAAAAGAATTAGAGCGAAGAAGTTTAGATGTCCACAGGAACACACTTAAAGTTTTATTCTGTAATTAGCCTTCTCTTAGCATTGACTTTTGGCCACGACCTGGTCTTTCATGCCTCCTTTCTGACCGTGTCCTTGCTGCGGTTGTTTCGTTTTAAGTGCTTGCTCTTCCTGAAGTCTGCAAACCCTTGCAGAATAGGCAAACGAATAATTTTCTAACCTAGTTGTGAAAGCCCCTTTCTCTTTATTCATGTGTATTGAAATGTATCACCTTGACAGATCACACATCAAGATTCTTTTAATTTGTGTGTGATTGCAGAATAGGCAAACGAATAATTTTCTAACCTAGTTGTGAAAGCCCCTTTCTCTTTATTCACGTGTATTGAAATGTATCACCTTGACAGATCACACATCAAGATTCTTTTAATTTGTGTGTGACGAGTACCCATCCCCATTCTGTCCCCCTCTCTCCCACCAGTCTACCCCCACAAAGGCCTGGGTGTTAGTAAATGACCAAGTTTTGAAGGAGAAAAAAAGCTACTCTGCATGATGGTGGAAGAAAAGTGTGGAAAGTCCAGGGCAAGGAGAGCGGGGAGAAGCAGAAGTGGGATAGAGAAAGACCCCATCCAGTGAGAGGGATGGTAGAAGGCTGCATGCAGTATACATGACAAAATCCTATAAAAATATTCTGCAAGGTCAACTAGAGTTATGAATTCTCTGAGACAATAGTTTTCTTTTTTTGGCTACAAAAGAGGAGGCAGAATTTCTCATCTGGCTTGCATGAGGTAGGACAGAGGCAGCATTTGAGGTTGTCAGATTTGAAGAGGCTGGAATTAGCAGAGATCTTTAGGCACCATAGACTTCTACGGGCCATGCAATTGGAGTTCTTAGTTGGGTGGCTGCTGTGGTTTGAATGTCTCGCCAAGCTCGTGTTGGAAGTTGACCCCAATATAGTGGTGGAAGGTGGGGCCTTTAACAGGTGATTGGATCATGAGGACTGCACCCTTGTGAATGGATTGATCCATTCATGGAGTAATGGGTTGATGGTTTAATGGGCTGTCATGCACATGGTTCTCATCATCCCAGTCTCTTACCATGTGATACTCTGTGTTGTCAAGGAACCCTGTGGAGAGCTCCCATCCATGAGAAGGCCCTCATCAGATTTGCCCCCCAGGACTATGGGCCTCTCAGCCCCCAAAACTTCAAGAAATAAATTATATTTCTTTATAAATTACCCAGTGTCAGGGTTCCTATTATAAGCAATAGAAACGGACTAATACAGTGAGTTTGGGGAAGGATCAAAGCAATTTAATTTGGATTTCCAGGGGCATCTATAACTACTTTGGTTTACATATGTACAAGAACAAAATATATGTTGGGGTGTGTATGCCATTTGATACACAAACATTTGATACTTTTAAGATGGATTATTTTCAAATAGACTCATAACGACAAGCGTTTTCTCCCTCTGCAAACCATAAGCTCCTTAAGGAAGGAAGCGAATCTTCTCTGGTTTTTGAATAACCTGCAGCATCTAGCTTAACACCAAGGACATACCAAGTATTCAGCAAGAGGGTCTTCCCAGCATATTGCCGGATTCCCTCACTGTCTCTCACCCTGTGCTCTGGTACGCACAGGTTATCAATCCTTTTGAAGACGAGTCACCCAGGAGGGAGGGCATGTGCATGCAGCAGAGGCTGTGCCTACAGATACCTGTGGCTTAGAGTCAATGGAAGCATGGTTTTTACCGACTATGAAACTTACACTAATTTTTCTCCACTGCCAGAAATGCAGTTCCTTGATGGTCCCTAGTCTATCTTAAACATTCAAATCAAGCACCAGATTACAGTTCAAATATGAGAAGATGATTAGAGATTATTGGAATGATGTCATTATAGTTGAAAAAAAATCTCAACTAAGAATTCTCAACTAAAAAAGTACTTTTTTTAGTACTCATCCATGTTAAATGGGCAACTACACTGTATCAGATGTGCCAAAGTGAACCTAAATCCAAATGAATGTTGATTATATTCATATCTAAGGAAGGTCAGCATGAAATGCACAAATAACACGACACTGACAGAATGATGTATTTTCCCTCTTTCCCTCTCACTTCTCAGTACTCCTTTGAGAACCGTGCAAAGGTAAAGTCAGAAAGAAAGTTCTTACATTCTTAAATCCTCTGTAAAGAATCTGAAGCTCTTTCTTGGTAAATTTGCTCTGGGCTTCCAGAAGCTCCAGGGCCTCAGGCCGATGCCTGACGGTGGCCATCTCCAGCTCATCTTCCACGCTGTCTGTGGAGGAAACCAGAAAGAATCTTAAGACCAGTCTTTGTTGACTGATGCTTATACACAGCCATACAGGAAAACAGAAAGAAATGTTTGCTAGATGTCTGTGATTTGTCCACAGAGGAAGGATCCTCACTGCCAATAAAGTCTTTACATTTCCCAGATACAACAATGTTACACTAAGACACTTCTACATGGTATTATTTGCACATTCTTATCATTCATGTAGACATTATGATTCTCGTATTTTTAAAGTATTTTGAAAAGTATAAAAAACCACCAACAATCTAACTTGCAGAAATGAATGCCATAAAGTAGACCTAATGTAAGTAGATAATATCAAATCAAAAGGCCTTGCTGTCTTGAAAAATATCTGATACAAGCTTCTTTTGAATTGTTAAAATGTTCAACCTAAAATGTTCCTCTTTCCTTTTCTACTTGTTAAAATTTGTATCTTTCATGCTCCAAATCAAATATTAGTGTCTCCTCCCTGAAACCTTTCCGGATTGCTCCACTATGTAGAACTAATGACTCTCTTTTCAGAGTCATCACACTCTAACCTCTTATACAGCATGTATAACATAACATTATCATCTGATGATGTTTGTCTTCTTCATTTGAGTTCCTTGAAGACAGGGTCTGTGTCTTACATGTCTGATATCCTCTGGACGTAATAGAGTAGGAACCACACGCACTTATATTCTCCCAGCAGCTGATACCTGGTATTCACTCAAGAATTATTTGATGAATGAATGAATGAATGAATGAATGAACATGTTGCTACTCCAGTTTCCCTTCCCGTGGAGCCCCTTGAACCTTAGGCCATATAGGAAAGTATTTTTCACATTGAAGTTTGTAGGCTAGTGGTTGACTTTAAATGTCTTTTTGTGGAATCGCTGTGTTCTCTATTAATTGTTTTGAGAATCATGGCATAGGCAAAAGTAAAGGAAATTTTGATCAAATTCTCTGAGCAGTCTTTCAGTCATAACATCACCTTGTCTAGACCTAGTGACCCTTCTATTGGAAAGAAACAAAACAGCACATTAACCTCTCGGCCTTCATACCATGCAGCAGTATGAGCCGCATTACCGATGGTTTCTTCCTCCAGCTGGCACAGACTTGCAGATTCCAATTCTGAGACACAAGGCACAGGGCCAGAGGGTCAGAGTAACTGAATTAAGTGTGTGTGAGAGGATGATCATCACATGCAATATTCAAAAAGAAGCTCACTTGAAGTGTCTGCCTGCGGGCTCTCTTATTTTCCCAGCTGTCTGGTACCTTACTACTTAATGAATTCTACCTGCCAGAGGGCTGTTTCTATTTCTAGGAGGTTGACAGGTTCTAAAAACATACCTGAAGTCATCAGCAATCACCAGCATATGATAAGTTGTAAAAGCAACAGCACCGAATCCAATCAACTGTGATTCCTGGAGGGAATTTTGTGGGGAGCACAGCCTGATTCCACACAGGACTGCAAATTCACATAATGACACAGCCGTCATTTAAGAGCATGCATGTTGGGGTATTTTAATACAGTGAGTGATGTTTATTGAGTTCTTGTGATACGTAGGAGATGGGTGAGGTGCCTTACTGGTGCAGTTTTAATCCTCACTATAACCACATAATGAGGTATAATTGTCCACTTTTCACCTATGTGGAGACTGAGTCTCATAGAGGTAAAGAAAAGCATGGCCAGGTGTCACATAAAAGAAAAATACAGGGACAGGATTTATACCCAAGTCTTTGATGCCACAGCTCATGTTCTTTTCCACACTCTCTTGTCACTATCAACAGAAATAACAAAGATAAAAATAATGGCAATCTCTCTTCTTTCCTGTACCATCAGACTTCTCAGTACAGTTGACTGTATCTACTGGGTCCATTTCCTACCTCCTGCTATCTCTTAATCTACTGTCATCTGACACCTGGTCCTGTTGTGAACTGAATTGTTCTCCAAATTCATGTTGAAGGTCAAACCCCCAGTGTGACTGTATTTGGAGGTAGGGCCTGTAAGGAGGTAATTAAATGAGGCCTGTAAATGAGGTCATCGGGGTGGGCCCCTAATCCAATGGCACTGGTGTTCTCAGAAGAAGAGAAAAAGACACCAGAGATGTGGGCTCACAGAGGAAAGGCCATGTGAGGAAATAGCAAGAAGACGGTGCCCTGTCAGAATACTGACCTTGACTTCCAGCCTTCAGAACTGTGAAATAAAAAAGCCATCCAGTCTGTGGTATTTTGTTATGGCACTCCTAGCAAACTATTGCATCCACCTATTTTCAAATGACACACAACACTAGTAAAAGCAGGTCTTGTTAGTCAGAGTTTGTCCAGTGAGTGCTAAACAGTTTGCTAGACAATTATGTAATTTAATCTTCATAACATCCTTCAGGAGAGGGATTATCATCCCCATTTTATAGATGAGAAAACTGAGGCTTAGAGCATCTGACTAACTTGCCTAAATCCAAATAACCCAAGGTCAAATGGCTAGTTAGTACTGAAGCAGAGAGATGCCTTTAGCATCCCAACATTCCTGTTTTTAAGCACTGTGCTGAGATTAATAAAAACCAACACCCTATAGAGAACTTTTCTCTAAGCCTGACTGTGTATTTTCTCATTTTAACACTGACAAAAATTGTGAGATGCCTATTATTGCCCATATTTTACAAGGAATAAACTTGGACTCACAGTGCTTAAATAATTTACTGAAGGTCACAGGACAGAGCTGGGATTTGGTCTCTAGCATTTTCACACCAAAGATCATGAGTTTAGTCAATGTGCTATTTTAAGAGATGGTAACAATGACATTTTTTAGTTTAAAATTCTGGGGAACAAAAGATTTTAAACCAGAAACCAGATGGCCACTGAATTGTCAATGCTGCAATTTCTCTCCAGGGGAAATGTGTCCAGGTACTTTGAGATCACCAGGATAGCAGACAATGCTATGTTGATTGGAAACACATGGTAGAATAAGGTGTGGAAGTGAAGGGATCTCAGAGCTGGGAAGAACACAGACGGTTGTTTGTTTTCTGCATTTTACCACTGAGAATCTCAGGTTTGGAGAAACTGAGTGTTTTGTCTAGGACAAAAACCAGAACCAGGTGGGACTCTGGCCTCCTGAAGAGTCTCCTGGCTCTGCCAGGATGTAACCATTCAGGCAGAAAAGGAGCTAATTCAAACGCTGCATTAACATCCTGAGACAAGCTGAATACAAATAGGATTTTAATTCATGTATCTTCTAAGGGATTTAATTGTAATCAGATAACAGATTCTGAAACCCAGACTCCCTTGAGCTCACTGGCTGTTTCTTTTTGTTCTTTGTTCCTTAGATTTAAGTCTCCCAGGGCCGAGGTTATCCTATGTCTGAGTCAATGGTCCCCCCAGGCCATGATACAATTGGGCTAGAAATTGGAATTCAACTCATCTGGGAATGACAGAATGAGTTTTTAAAATAGGCATCTTTTCCCCCTACCTCATAACTTCTCTGAAAATACAATTGAAGCTTATTACAGCTCAACTGACAATCATGCAAATTTGACTCTGAGGTCAAACCATACACCCCAGAACATAACTACAGAACATCTTGCTTTTCAAACAAATCTGAGTGTGAGCCCTGCCTTCCCAAGACACGCGTTTATAAATAAGACTTCTAATGCTGAAATCAAACCATTTCATGAAGAATGTCAGTGTTTTGAGGAAGTTGGTTCATAACTCGGGCCATGCACACAGAGGTGAGTCCTTGCCTGTGATGCGATGGCCTGGTTTTCTGACCATGGTCCTGCTAAATTACTGGCCAAACCATCCAGCAGTGTCTACTTTGGCACACTAAAAGTATTCAATAAAAAAATGTGAAATAGATGAATAAATATTGGAAGCATTCCATGGAAAGTGGAATCTACAGGAAGTCCTATTTCTAAACACGACATGACGCTTCTTTAAAAATGTATCAATTTTTCATCATACTTTGGCACACTAAAAGTATTCAATAAAAAAATGTGAAATAGATGAATAAATATTGGAAGCGTTCCATGGAAAGTGGAATCTACAGGAAGTCCTATTTCTAAACACGACATGATGCTTCTTTAAAAATGTATCAATTTTTCATCATAAAAATATCACGTATACCGTAACTTTAAAATTCTGTTTGAGCTGAAATTGATTTTTCTAGCCAGAGCCTGACTGCTTGACTTACATTGCTTTATCTCACTTATAAAAATACCCTCTGAGTATTTACTTCTATGTTTGTTTACATTTTATTAAATTTGTCGAATAGTGACTTGATCCATATACAGCAATAACATTATGATGAGAATGATCACTTTCGAATGATATGTTACATATTATTAAATATTCAGAAGCTTGGTCCAGTGGCAGGTATTTGAAGAGGGTTTTACAAATTTTGCTGAAGGTTTTTACTTTACCCTTAACAGTGCTGGAAGGTTCTTGACCATAGCATTAGAAAGTTCCCCTGAAAACCTCTGGAATAAGGAGACAATGCTATCATTTGGTTAATGTTCACACCTCGCACATCAGGACAAAGATAAGCTTTCCAAGGCTATTTTTCATGGCACCGACGTAATTTTTTTCCTCCTTTTTTTTCCACTTTGAAAATTTGCAGGGGCCTAGATAGGATGGCCATATAAGCAACAAAGGTATTCCATTTCTTAGTTCCACGTCTTGCAGTGCTCAAAGAGGTTGGCATGATAATCAGTTGAGGAGACAATTGCAGGGTTAAGGAATTTGCTCAAGTCTGCACAGCTGCATAGCTGATGACAGCTGCATAGCTGATGACTGGGGGAGGCAGGCCCCGCCACAAACATGTATTTCTTCTTCCTGTTCTATCATTGGACTTCCTTGGATGGAAAGTTCAAACCTGGGCCTGTAAGCAAAGTTTTCACCTTTGGCAACTTTAAATGCTTTGTCTCAAGTGTGTGCAGGCCTGGGAGCCTGCTTGTCTCTTCCTGTCTTCATAACTATTCACCCATACAGCCACCAGAAGTTATTTTCAG